GATCGCGCAAGGAAGCGTATAATCTCTCACCACCCTTCTTGTTTGTATAGTAGCTCATTGTCTCTCTAGGCGAATTGCGCACTCTGAACGAAAAGGCCTGGGATGGCGAATCTGGTATGAATCATATGCCTACCCCTCCACTCCCCCGCCATCTTCTATTAACAACTCCTGTCGTAGACTTGTTCCCTGTTGCAAAGACTCTCGACTCGTCTCTCAAGAAGAATACCGCTTTCATTAAGCGGCTGCGAACAGCCATCACCGCCGCTACCCTCAGCACCTTCCTCCAGGAAATCCGAACTTTGAGCCTACGCAAGTACCTTTCCGAGATCATATCTGCTTGCTATGAGGGACTATGCCGACTCAAGTCGCCTGGCGAGATTGAGGCCAGCGTGGAGATTGTCAGTGCTCTCCATCAGCGATTCGGCCCCAGCGAGTTCACGGAATACTTAGCCTGGCTTCTCGGAAAAGGGATGGCGACTCCAGATAAGGGTATCCTCAAAGCTCTAGCACCAGAGGTTCGTGAGAAAGAAGAGAAGGAGCGCATCACAAGACACCGAGCTTTACTTCGCGTAGTGACTGAGTTGTGGCTCGTTGGTGTCATCAGGACCCTTGACGATGTTAGCAGACCCGACGACGCAACAAAAGGAGCTGCAGGCAAGACTCCCGAACTGAAGACCCGAACGAACAAAGGCACCGGTGCGGAACCGTTCCCCCTCGAAGTACTCAAGGATTTGCTTGGACACGATCGCGAGCATGCCAACCTTCCGCTTCTTGTCATTTTTGTCAAGTCATTCAGCTGGGATATTCTTGGGGTGAAACCAACAGGCGCTGATGGCCGAAAGACAGTAGAGGAAGACGGCACTTCTGAAGGGAATGAAGCCGAGGATGGCAATAGTGGAAATGAGGTGTCTCCTGACGCAGATCAACCTTTTACCGAACCCGAAATGCGGGATCGATTCAGGAGCATATTGAAGAAGTATTTTGATGATGTCAAGGGGCATATCACTCGGGATCAGAAGTCGATACAGTCACAAGCTCGGCGTAATGCCGAGGCGTATGTCAAGTCTGGCGAAGTCTTTGAAGATCGACAGGCGAACTATGAGAAGCAGGTCAAGGCTCAAGAACGCCTCGTTTCCAACGCACAGGTTATTGCGGACGTAATTGGGGCCGAAATGCCGGATCTCAAAGACTCAGATGATTCATTCGCTGCTTCCAACGGCTCTATCGGTCTCGTTAAGACTGGCGATTATCTTCGTTCTATGGGAGATGGCGCCGGAATCTGGGAGGATGAAGATGAGCGACGCTTCTACGAAAACCTGGTTGATCTCAAAGGCAAGGTCCCAGCTATTTTACTGGAGGACGGCAAAAAGAAGAAGACAGACACGGACGAACAAGTTGGGAAGAAGGTAGACCCATCCGAGGCCTCGGAAGCCCCCAAGACTGCCGAGACTGCTGATGACCAGTCCACGTCTATCGCTAACCGAACCATTGGAGCGCAAGTCGATGCCCTGCTTGCGCGTCTACCAGAGTTGACCAACAAAGACATCGCAGACCAAACAGCTATCGATTTCTGCTTCCTAAATTCAAAGGCTTCTCGCAACCGTCTGGTGAAGGCTCTGACAGAAGTTCCAAAGGGTCGTAGCGACCTACTCCCGTCATGGTCTCGTCTTGTGGCGACTTTGGGTCGATATATGCCAGATGTTCCAAAGGGCCTGGTCGATTACCTTGATGCGGAATTTCGAAGCCTTCAACGACGGAAGGAAAAAGACTTCTTGGGACAAGTCCGTCTGAGCAACATTCGGTATCTTGCTGAGTTGACAAAATTCGGCATTGTGCCCGAGCATGTTGTCTTTCATTGTCTGAAAGTCAGCCTCGATGACTTTTCACGTATGAACATTGAGATCCTGTGCAACCTCATTGAGAACTGCGGTCGGTATCTGCTTCGAAATCCTGAAACAGCTCCTCGTATGATGAGCTTTCTCGAAACTCTGCAGCGCAAGAAGTCCGTCCAACATATTGGGCAACCAGAGCGGATGCTCATCGATAACGCTGTTTACTACGTTGACCCACCAGAGCGTTTAGCTATTGAGCAGAAGGAACGCACCCCCATGGAGCTTTTTGTTCGCAAATTGATCTATGTTGATATGACAAAGAGAAATTACAGCAAGATCTTGAAGCAGATTCGGAGGCTCCACTGGGAGGAGACCGAGGTATGCAGCAGAGATAGTATCTCATGAATAAGTGCTGATAGTTTTAGGTTGTCGCCATCTTGGAGAAGGTGTTCTCAAAGCCTGGAAAGGTGAAGTACGGAAGCGTTCATCTTCTTGGTATCCTGCTCAGCGCGCTTTATCGCTACCACCCTGACTTTGTGGTCAAGGTTATTGATAACGTGATCGAGTCTATGACGTTTGGTCTCGAGCAGAATGATTACAGGTTCTATCAGCGACGCATTGCCGAAGTCAAATATCTTGGCGAGCTTTATAACTACCGCATGCTTGAACATCCTGTTATCTTTGACACCATGTACAAAATTATGACATTCGGATATGGTAAGATGTTCCTTAGACTATTAATCTGTCCACCAACTGACTGAACTTACAGGGGGTCCACCTGTTCCTGGTAAATATATTCCACTCGATCCTCCCGATGACTTCTTCCGCATCCGACTTGTATCTACAATGCTGGAAACCTGCGGCATGTTCTTTAACCGCGGAGCAGCGGGCAAGAAGTTGGATTACTTCCTCTCATTCTTCCAGGTATGTTCCACCAACCCCCCCAATACGTTGTTTCCTTCTGACACTCTGGTAGTATTACATCTTCACTAAAGTGTCCCTGCCAATGGATATTGAGTTTTTAGTTCAAGACACATTTGCTCTGACACGACCACAATGGAAACTTGCCACAAGCTTGGATGAGGCCGTAAAAGCCTTCCAACTTGCCGTTGCTCAAGATCAAAAGTCGGCGGGCGTTGACAAGGGAATTGACGTGGATGATGCCACAAGCGATGCCTCATCGGACGATGACAACGTGGACAATGATGAAGATGGCGACGACAACGGAGACAGTGCTTCTGAGGAGGAGGAGGCAGAGGTAAGTCAATCAAATGCGAAATACTTGGCCATGATTTACAAATGTAATACAGGATGTGGAGGACGATTCCGACGATGAAAGTACCTTTGACGAGGAAGCCATTGTAGTCACTCGACAAGAAGAGGAGGTTGACCCTGAGGATGAGGCTGATTTTGAGCGCGAGTATGCCAAGATGATGGCTGAAAGCCTCGAGTCGCGCAAGTTTGAGCGCAAGCAGCTCTTTGATGTGCCACTTCCAGTTCGACCCAAAAATCGCGAGGCTACCTCAACAGAGGGAGGCGAGGGAGAATCTCCCCCTGGCCATACTATGGCGTTCTCCTTATTGACGAAGAAGGGCAACCGCCAGCAGGTAGTTAACCTTGCCGCTCTGTACCGTTCCCTAGATGCTGACCTGGAGTTAGACGCGGACTGTTGAACTGCCCTCCGATTCTACCTTTGCTATTGCAATGAAGAACCAGCAACAGGCTGAAAGGGAGGAACAACAGCGCATCAAGAATTTGGTGCTCAACTATGATCTTCAGCAGAATGAAGACCAGGATGGTGGTACAGACCCTCAGCCCACACAAATTCATCACAACACCAATATTCACACATTAATTCAGGCAATGAACGACCGGCGACCTTCTATCACAACCGATTGGAGAGATCGAACAAGGATAAGAGCCAAAGATCTCGTAAACTCCAGCTGAGCGATGTCGATTGGTAAAGATATTCGAATGGGTAAGACTCCTAATCTAGCCTTGACGATAAGCCGATATCACTCGACGACTGCATCCCGAGATGACCGTCGCTCCGCTTCCGAACTGTGGCCACGGATGCTGTGGTGAAGAACCAACCTTGTACCACATTCGTGCCGTCTTTGCACGTCGCGCAAAGGGCGGTCAGCAAGCTGAATCCTCCTCAACGTTGATGCAAGCTGTGCTTTTCAACAATGCGGCCTCACACAATCTAGCTTCATTGCTGGAAGTATGCTCGCAGCAGTAAGATAGCCTCCGCAGGATAAGCCTGGACGTCAGAACACGGCCCTACCGCACGCTCGTGACGCAGCAACGTGCTTGCCACGGAGCGGAAGGGACTTGCATGACATGCTATAAGCACATGCATCGCCTAGAGTTGAGGATATTTAGATGTCCAACATGCCTTGAGCAGACGAATAGCTAAGGAAGGCATTTAAGCCCCTGCCAGGTTGCTGATTATCAGTACGCTGTAGCTTGAGCTTGAAATACTGAACTTGATACTAGAGAGCATTGGACCTGGTCAACGCAATGATTTAATCAAGAGTGGAAGTGCCAAAACTAATACTGGTTTGTGTATGTTTGTTCATTTCCAGATCGACTAATTTATTAGTTCACCTTGTGACAGGCAATATATCATGTGTAACCGTGATGAGGTCGGTATGACACCCAGTTCTTGGTGACTATTAGGTGGACAATCTTGCCTTGAATTCCCACGGGGATCTAAACTTCTTTACATTACCTACCTACCTAGATACCTAGTTGGTTCTTTCGTTCTCAGCATCTTCCTCGCGCCTTCCCCCACATGCAGCTTATGAAGGCAGTTTCCTCTGATATTCATGGCACTTGCTCTCCTCCAATTCTGTTTCTAATCGATTTGGCTTGTGTCACCAAGCTTGACTCATTCAAGCCTCGCAATATTCTGCCGGCACCCGCCGGGAGCTCACCTCAAGGCAGTGCCTCTAAACTAAGAGACGGCCCCGTGCTTCTTTGGCTCTTGGCTCTTGTCTCCCATGGTGACGACTGTCCAGCACGGCTTGCAGCACACAAATCTTTGGGGAGTGGTCGCCGTGCGTCAGATCGATTTTCCGAACTGTCTCTATCTGTCTCACTGACGCCTTCTCTCTGTTGCCTGCCGACTGCTGTCAAACGAGGAGGAAAGGCCACTTTGCAATCATGGCCCTACTAAAGGACTGGCCGTTGCAAAACGTGAGTCGGCATACTGCAGTGTTTTGCTCCATCATGTGCGCTAATTTGATCATTCCAGATTATATATACCAGCATAGTCGGCGTCGTGCTTTTGATGGCATGCCTTGAGTGGTTTCTCTGGTTGGCAGCGTTCGTCTATTGCCTCGTCAAAGTCTTTAAAAAGGCAGAACATTGGTCCATTAATGTCTTGTGCATCATTGTTGGCGCTGCCTTTGTTCTCTTCCGGTAGGCCGTGTCCCATCCTCTGACATAATACAAAATGGCCTTAGCTAATATCAAGGTTAGGGTCATATTCCTCCCAATCATGATGGTGACACTGCCACTTCCGGATACCATTACAGAGCTGTGGCCGAAAGAGATGGTGTCCTTTCTCCAGTGGTTTGCATTCTGGACCTTCGCGATCCTCTTGACAGTGCCATGGTTGTTCTGTATCTATCAAGTCGTGACAAATCAACTCGGTCGAACGAAGCGTATGAAACAGGTGCTCGATGATGTTACTGCGCCAAAGGTCATCATAGTCATGCCTTGTTACAGAGAGGAACCCGAGGTTCTCCTCAAAGCTGTCAACTCAGTTGTCGAATGCGATTACCCGCCCGCCTGTATCCATGTTTTCTTGTCCTTCGACGGGGATGAGGAGGACGAACTGTACCTCAGCACTATTGATAAGCTTGGTGTGTCCATGAAGATGGAGACATACCCCAAGAGTATTGATGTCACATATCGATCTGCACGTGTAACCATTTCACGCTTTGAGCACGGAGGAAAACGTCACTGCCAGAAAGTAACTTTCAAGCTCATCGACCGAGTTTACGAAGAGTATCTCAAGCGCAACGACAATCTGTTCATTCTCTTTATCGACTCCGACTGTATCCTAGACAAGGTATGCCTACAGAACTTTGTCTACGACATGGAGCTCAGCCCTGGCAATTCTAGAGACATGCTAGCTATGACAGGCGTCATTACCTCGACGACGAAGAAACATAGCATCATTACCCTGTTACAAGACATGGAATACATACATGGACAGTTGTTTGAACGAACCGTCGAATCTGGCTGTGGTTCCGTCACTTGTCTGCCGGGAGCACTGACGATGCTGCGCTTCTCAGCTTTTCGGAGAATGGCCAAATATTATTTTGTAGACAAAACAGAGCAGTGTAAAGACCTGTTCGATTTTGCTAAGTGTCACTTGGGAGAAGATCGCTGGTTAACCCATCTATTCATGATTGGAGCCAGAAAGAGGTACCAGATCCAGATGTGCACATCGGCCTTTTGCAAAACCGAGGCTGTGCAGACATATCGGTCCCTGGTTAAGCAGCGGCGCCGATGGTTTCTAGGCTTCATCACAAACGAGGTATGTATGTTAACGGACTGGCGCTTGTGGAAGCGCTACCCCGTTCTCATACTGGTCCGTTTTATGCAGAATACCATCCGAACAACAGCATTATTGTTCTTCATCATGGTTTTGGCCCTGATAACTACAGTCAAGAAAGTGGACGACCTTCCCGTAGGCTTCATTGCCGTCTCTTTGGGGCTGAATTGGCTGCTGATGCTGTACTTTGGAGCCAAGCTCCGGCGATTTAAAATCTGGCTCTATCCACTCATGTTTATTCTTAATCCGTTTTACAACTGGCTGTATATGGTTTACGGTATATTCACAGCAGGGCGGCGAACTTGGGGCGGGCCACGAGCCGATGCTGCGGCGGCGGACGCTCACACGACAGCAAGAGAAGCAGTGGAACAAGCTGAGAAACAGGGAGACGAACTGAACGTGGTCCCCGAGACGTTTAAAGCGGCACGCGAAGCACGTAGGGCTGCCTCAAATCGTATGTCGACCGCAACCACCGAACTCGGACGCACTCGAAGCGTGGTGCGACCACCAGACAAGATTGATGGCAAGTTTTCGGCACGTCAGAAGACAGCATCGGGAACATATGCTCATCCAGATGAGATCGATACCAGCACAGAGGATATCGAGATGGGGAAGGCAACATCCCATGAGGTCTCGAAGCCTCAAGAGTGTGCGGATCTCGGGGTTGGAACACAGCGAAGAATGAAGCTCTTAATGGATGAGGAAAACATTCGGAAGTACGAGATTGCACAACAAATGCAGGACCGAGCTTCTCAGGTGAGCGATATGGAGGGCATCCGGTCTAGCCGCGGGTTCTCAGCTTCACCTATGAGGCGTACTGAAATTTCGGGAGATATGATCACTTCCCCAAGTACGATCGAATACAACCAGGTCGCCCGAGATGAACCAGTTGAATCTCGTCGTCGGAATTCCATGGAGAGAAGTATTGGTACCACCAGCGTTGACGGGGGACAAACAAGGCTTGGATCAAACATGTCGTTTGCTAGTCGAATGACGAGAGGGAGGCTGAAGAAAAGCCGTTAGAATGAGGCGATGGATTATACCTGGATCAAGCCAGTGTTCATGTTGCTTAGTTTGAGCCAGTTCCTTTTGTGGCTCGTCATTCTCAGACTATACATACCTAGTGTAAAAAATGAAGCTATCTCGAACAACAAACAGCAGGTTTTGCATTGGATAGTTGTCGATCCAAGCATGGTGAAGCCCACATCTACCCCGCAATTCTGGAGCTGCATCGGGCATCATGACAACACACAAGAGAGATGAAGATGATGGAAGCCAGACCAGACCAGACAGGTCATTTGTTGACCGGGGTCGAATGCTCCAAGTGACCCTGTCACTTGCTATATACTACCAACTACTCCGTACGGACAGGTTAGACGGGGTAGGGCGAAAGCAACCCGAATAGCCTCACTAAAATGTGGCGTCCTGATATACATGCAATTTCAAAACTCTCACCAACCTGAGGCTACTCCTTGTTAGCTCATGAAAAATTGTCGTTTCGGCGTGCCGGAGAGAGGAACGAGTGTTCTGTCGGTGAGCCAGTCCACAGTCGATCACCTAAAAATCCATTTCCAAGTTGGCGGAGCAGAGAGTGAAAAGTGCATGATATTAGTTTCGAACAGCTTGGCACGGTTTGTTTGGCTGTGTCAAGATCATGCAAATGTTGTCTTTAGTCACACCCGAAGGGTTGGGCCCGGTTTAAGGTGGTGGTATTATTGAGCTCGACCAAGATAGGTAGTCTCGAAATTTCTTCAATGTTCTTGATGGAGACATTCTTGTCTCGTCAATTGGGGTTAGGAGTGCGCTGAGATCCAATATGATGGGAAAGTCAAGTTTGCCATGTCGAAGAGACTAAGTTAATAGAGGAGCTTAGGTGGCGAGGAATCCATCAACAGAGACTTACCCAGTAAGTAAGTACCTAGTTACTTGCTTTATCGTTATCAGAGGGACTCTCACCCGTTTGGGGTTTTCTGTATGTACTGTCTAGACTGTGTGTGCCCCTCCAACAAAGCTTTGTGTCTGCCTCGTCTTCGAAATGTTGGAATAGCGGGGGAGGGGCATGACAACTAAATTTTTACTTGCTGCAGTACTTGTCCTGGTAAGCCAAAAGGGGCTGGGAAGGCATTGTATTTGCTTGCCTCGTTCAAGACTCGAGTCAAGGGTAATTATTACTCACTGAGGAACAGTACCAAGAAGTACCGCCCACTAGACTGACTACTTACCTAGCAACTTACCTTAGTTGCTGTGATGTATGTACAGAGTATCGTCGTGGCTGATGCTGGTGCCTTGCGTTTCTCTTTTTTGTGGAGATGCTGTATCTGTAAATCCCTGATATCCACTGTAAGGCAATTTGATTGCGTACAGGAGCTGTTGAATCTGGTGACAGAATCGCACAGAAATCTATCGTCGTTTCTAGGGCCTGCTAAGACTAGGTACCTAGTCAACTGTTCAACGTGACCACAGCATCCTAGCACAACGAGATATTCCGCTGGTTCATCCTCACTAGATTTACCATGAATATAAAAAGTCGAAGGATACATTTTTTGGAAGACATTTTGAATGAAACTCCTTTGAAGAAACAAAACTTGGCATCTTCTAAAAACAGCTTAAAGAAAAGAATCAAATCGCGACAGGCTTTCAAGTAGTGTATACTTGGTTTACATCATCGCTCTACACTTCAGATCCACCACATCGTACATCGACCCGCAGGTACTGGATACAGTGCACTTCCCCGTAGCCACTGAACCATTGAAAATTTCAGTACAGTGCAGCCCATTGAGCGGGATCCCCCATTCGCTGCCCCTCCACCTTAAAAAAAAATTGACCCAGCGCCAGCGGACCAGGCCCAACCAAACCTACCTAGGTCACCTTAGCCATTCATACCCTACCGGCCTTTACTCTTCCCCTCCATACCTACCTTACTCTTTCTATCTTATCCATTCTCACGATCCTCCCTCTATCTCCCGCCTTTTTGCGATCGCTTTCCTTCTTCTCTTTTGAGCTTTCCCGCGCATCGCTCAACTTTATATCCCCCTTCTTCTTTCTACCTTAATATCGTGTCTCGGGGCAAACCCCACCCGTCGAAATCATGAGTGTCGTTGGTAAGTGATGCCATCCGAGTGCTCACTTTTTTTTTCTTGCTGGTGGTGCTCAGCCAATCGCTATTCCTCGCAAGGAACAACCAGACTTTGAACAACACCAAACTGACCGTTGGCTTTCCTCTGTATAGGTATCGATTTCGGAACCCTCAAGACTGTCATCGCCGTTGCTCGAAACCGCGGTGTCGATGTTGTGCGTATACCCTCATATCCTCCCCCGCCATCTATCCCAGTCGACTGCCCTGCCCCTACCCCTCCATACCTGCTTCGTCGTCGCTCCTCGACCGACGATGGGATCGATGGCCACCCCCAAGAATTCCCATAACTGACTTCTTTTGTCTTGTACAGGTCACCAATGAAGTCTCAAACCGAGCAACCCCGTATGTTTGTACCTCTTGTTTGACCCCTATGCTTGTCGCGCGCGGTCAAACAACGCTCCACCACCTTTATCAGTCACATATATACTGACAATTCTATTCCCTAGTTCCCTGGTAGGATTCGGACCAAAGTCTCGTTACCTCGGAGAGGCCGCCAAGACCCAGGAAATCTCTAACCTCAAGAACACTGTCAGCTCTCTCAAGCGTCTTGCTGGTCGACAATTCAACGACCCCGATATTCAGATTGAGCAGCAATATGTGACCGCTCCTCTGACCGACTGCAATGGCCAAGTCGGTGCTGAAGTCAACTATCTGGGCAAGAAGGAGAAGTTCACTGCCACTCAGCTGGTTGCCATGTACTTGAGCAAGATTAAGCAGACCGCTGGAGCCGAACTCAAGCTGCCTGTTCAAGACGTCTGCCTGAGTGTGCCACCTTGGTTCACTGATGTTCAGCGCCGTGCTCTTATCGACGCTGCCGAGATTGCTGGCCTTCGTGTTCTCCGTCTCATCAACGACGGCACAGCCGCCGCTCTTGGCTGGGGCATTACAAAGCTCGACTTGCCTGCCCCCGAGGAGGCTCCCCGCCGTGTCTGCTTCGTCGATATCGGCCACAGCAGCTACACTGTCTCCATTGTCGAGTTCAAGAAGGGTGAGCTCGCTGTCAAGGCCAACACCTGGGACAAGGACTTCGGTGGTCGTGACTTCGATCGCGCTCTGGTCGACCACCTCGCCAAGGAGTTCAAGGGCAAATACAAGGTCGACATCATGACCCACGGCCGTGCCCTTGCCCGTACTATCGCCGCCGCTGAGAAGACGAAGAAGATTCTATCTGCCAACCAACAAGCTCCTGTCAACATTGAGTCTCTCATGAACGACATTGATGCCTCTGCCATGATCACTCGCCAGGAGTTCGAGGCCATGATCGAGCCTCTCCTTGCCCGAACCCACTTTCCCCTCGAGGAAGCCCTTGCCCAGGCTAAGCTCACCAAGGACGATATCGATGTTATTGAGGTCGTTGGTGGTGGTTCTCGTGTCCCTGCTCTCAAGGAGCGCATCCAGGAGTTTTTTGGAAAGCCTCTATCCTTTACCCTCAACGCCGACGAGGCTCTTGCCCGTGGTTCTGCCTTCAGCTGTGCCATTCTCTCCCCTGTCTTCCGTGTCCGAGACTTCTCAGTCCAGGACATCATCAGCTACCCCATTGAGTTTGCCTGGGAGAAGGCTCCCGATATTCCTGATGAGGACACCAGCCTGACTGTCTTCAACAAGGGCAACGTCATGCCCTCGACCAAGATCCTTACTTTCTACCGAAAACAGCCCTTTGATCTCGAGGCCCGATATGCCCAGCCCGAGCTACTCCCCGGCAAGACTAACCCCTGGATTGGCCGTTTCTCTGTCAAGAACGTCAAGGCCGATGGTAAGGATGACTTTATGATTTGCAAACTCAAGGCACGTGTCAACATCCACGGTGTCCTGAACGTCGAGACTGGTTACTACGTCGAGGAGGAGGAGGTTGAGGAGGAAGTTAACGAGGATCCCGATGTGAGTTTGTCCGAGCCGTATATGGCGTCCAATGATTTCCCCCCTGCCCAAGATGAAGACTCGGCCTCTTCATCATCCGCATCCGTTGGAGATGATAGCCAAGCACATCCTGCAAAGCGCCCGCGACTCGACGATGAAGAAGAACCCGACTCGTCTCGTTCCGCTTTCGGTGCTCCAGAACATTTAGAAGAATCAATTTGTCAAACCCGATCGCTAACATCCGTTTCCCAAAAGGCCATGGAGACCGATAAGGATGCCCCTAAGAAGACTCGCAAGGTGAAGAAGCAGGTCCGCAAGGGTGACCTGCCCATCTCCACAGGTAGTGCCTCTCTTGACGACTCCACCAAGGCCAGCCTTCTTGAGAAGGAGGCTGCCATGGTCATGGAGGACAAGCTTGTCGCCGATACCGAGGAGAAGAAGAACGAGCTCGAGGCTTACATCTACGACCTTCGTGCCAAGCTCGACGAGCAGTACTCCGAGTTTGCCAGCGAAGAGGAGAAGCAGACCATCAAGGCCAAGCTTGAAGCCACAGAGGTATGTTCACATATTCCTTAATAGCTTGAGAATTCATATACTAATAACAATTCTAGGACTGGCTGTACGAGGAGGGTGATGATACCACAAAGGGTGTGTATGTTGCCAAGATCGACGAGATCCGCGCCATGGCTGGTCCCATTGTTCAGCGCCACTTTGAGAAAGTCGAGGCTGAACGACAAGCTGCTCTGGAGAAAGCCGAGGCCGAACGGGCTGCGAAGAAGGCTGAGGAGGATGCTCGCAAGGCTGCAGAAGCCGAGAAGGCCAACGCAGACCAGGAGATGAAGGATGCTGACGCTCCGCAACAGGAGACCGAGGGCTGTGCTGACCCCCAGTAAACTATGAATAAAGGGAGGGAATTTTCGACGCTGCAGATGCATGCTCGGTCGGCTCTGCGTGCGTGATGCTTGCATGATATGCGATGAGATGAATGACGCCTGAAAAGATTACGGATGTTGAAAAAAACTAAGGGCACCAGGTTTGGGAGAAGGAGCAATAGAACATGCAATATGGTTGCAAACGGCTTTGTTTTGTTGGGAGATAGGGGCCCGGATCATCATGACGGATATGTTACCCGCGTTAGACCACTTTTACACTTTTAAGTTAGTAGTTAGGATCCATACACTCCAGTTTGGTTCAGCTTCTTCCGCCATCATTCAAGTGTGTTATCGTGATGAGTTGGAAGCGATCGTCTGCTGAGCTCTTATCGGACTGAATACCTAGCAGTTGTCATTGATCCAGTTCACACTCGTGACGTAGCCACAGCAAATATGAGATTAAGTCATTTCAACCCTCGTTGATAAAGAGCCCTACTCTATACGACTACATACGTTGCCTTGAGGGTGCCCTTTGCCCTTCAATTTCACGTCTCTTCAATCTTTTTTTTGCTGCCCGAAAATGCAAATCAGTACCGTACACAATTCCTTCAAACGAGTTGATGCAATTTCTTTTCCTATTTTCTTCTTTTTGATATGCAGTGTATTTCTCATACTTTTGTCCCCCCGCAGACGGAACTGGCTGCAACCTGATGTCCTGTCAGCATGTTATCGAAACATTGAGTTTCACCTCCAGGACAGGATGCAGCCAAGCTCCCGGCGCGATTTTTGAGGTAGAAACTTCACATCACCAACGTTCTTAACTTTTTGTCATCTTGGCTACTTATGAAATGTCGAATAAGGGCTTGAGCTTAATGATGAGCTGCCACTCATCGTTGCTGACCTCCTTTCTGTAGTATTCCTTGAGGGTGTCGATACTGGCTCGAGAGATCAAACTGTAAAGGGTCTCGTCTTCTTCCAGGTGGCGGCCGTACATGGGCTGGTTTCCACCCATCTCGATCTTGATTGCGACGGAAGGCTCCTTTCGCTTACACACGGGGATTTGCTTGTGCTCTCGCTCGATTGATGTACTATGAAACTGTTAATAGAGGGTCTTAAGGGAGTAGAGGATCTAGAAACTTGCACTCTGCCCAGTTTGACGATCTCCTTGGCACCGGTTGTAGGGTTATTCCTGACAGCGGCGACAGGACAGTTGATCCGGAGCTGACCCTCAGTGACGTCAACACCAATAACAATGGGGTCATTCTTGTTGAAGACCTTGACGGGCTTCAATACACAAGGGAAGACAGCAAGCATCTTGGACTCTTCCTTCTTCTTCTCGAGTTGCTCATCCATATGCTTGGTGAAGGCATCAAACAGATGATAGATAATATCAGCTGTAAAGATCTTGATGCCATTGTCCTCTGCATACTGCTGTGCTTCCTTGTCGACCTTGACATCGAAACAGAGCATGATGGCGTACTCCGGTGCCTTCTCCAACATAACACCGCACTGCAAGACATCACGCTTGTAAACGGGACCAATACCAACGTTCGCAACAGGAATCTTGCAGTCCTTAAGGAAATCGAGCAGAGCCTCAAGCGATCCAAGGGTCGACGCTTGAACACTGACACCGCGACCAGTTTTCTCGACACGGTTAAAGAGAACGGCAAGATCGGACTCGACCTCATCCTCAATATCGTCTTCATCGTCATCGGGACCTACAACCATCAGGCGTGAGCCAGCGATGGCACCCTCGAGACCAGGGGCGCTGATCTTGACACCTAGAGCAGCCTTGGCTTCCTTATTGTGGACATAGGCGGACTTGAGACGCAATTCCTTCATAGGCGCTGGTGTAAGCAGTGCTCGGATATTCGTCTTGATAGCGCCTTCTGTACCGCACAGCACAATGCGGTCACCTTCTCGCAAGATACCGTTAGAAAGGACGACGTCGATGGTCATACCGAAACCCTCAATAGCCTTGACTTCGAGCACAGTGGCCTGGACCTCGGAGAGATACATGAGAGAGCCAACCATACGCTCTTGAGTGAGCTGGACAATGAGCTTCAACATGTCAGGGACACCCTCGCCAGTGTGGGCCGAAGTGGGCACAAGCGAGACGTACTTTGACATGGACTTGTTCTCGTAGAAGAGCTCGGAGTTGAAACCCTGCTCAGCGAAGGCAATCTTGGTCTTTTCGAGACGTGTCTCAAATTCATTACGGACAGCCTTACTCTGGAGAGCCAGACTGTCCTGGAAACCGTTGTTGGCAACCTGCTTCCAGCCGTACAGACGATCGATCTTGTTGAGGGCGACGATGAAAGGAGTCTTGCGCTCTCTCAGCATGCGCATAGACTCGAGTGTTTGCGGTTCGAGACCGTGCATGATATCGACGACCAAAATGGCAATGTTACAGAGCGAAGAACCACGAGATCGGAGGTTAGAAAAGGACTCGTGACCAGGTGTGTCGATGATGAGAAGACCGGGGACCTTGAACTCGAACTTGCCGTCAGGGTTGACAACAGCCGTCTTTTGTCGGATGGCTTCAACGGGGAAGTAAGTGGCACCGATCTGTTGTGTAATACCACCAGCTTCACCCTCTTGGACGTTGGTTTGGCGGACCTTGTCCAGGAGCTTTGTCTTTCCGGTATCGACGTGGCCCAGAATACAGCAAATAGGCGATCTCAGGTTATCCTTGGATCGGGCAGCAAGGGCGGCCTGATGAGCCTTTTCACGACGCTCAGCAGCCTCTCGCTTCCGCTTCTCCTCAGCCAATTGTGCAGCTGTGGCAGCCTCATCATCGGAAGACTCCTCCTCGGATTCGTCTCCAGACTCTTCTTCAGCCTTCGCTTCCGATGTGCCGTTGGCCTTTTCGGCCTCCTCGTCAGAATCGGCGTCCCAGCTGTCCTTGACATCGCCGTCAGAAGCAGCAGCAGCCTCCCAGTCATCCTCCACATCACTCTCGGCAACCTTCTTTTCAGCAGCAGCCTTGGCCTCGGCCTCGGCCTTCTCACGGGCAGCCTTCTCTTCAGCTTCTTTCAAGGCCTTCTCAGCTTCTTGTCGAGCTCGTTCAGCAGCTTCTGCAAGAGCCTTCTCCTCATCGATCTGTCTAGGGTTAGCGAATCCTGATCTCTCGGTGTGTTTTATCACAAAGTATACCTTTTGTTGGGCGCGGCCCTTCTTTCTCCTGTTGTCCGCAGGCTTAGACTTCTTCTCACTGGGCTCGCCTGCAGGTCCAACTTGGATACCGGCAGCCAACATCTGCTGGAGCTTTCGCTCATTTCGGGCCTTCTCTTCCTTTTGGGCCTTTGTGAGATATTTTCCCTCCTTCTTGAGTTGCTCGATTCGCTCCCTCTCCTTCTGCTTCTTGATGGCCTTGGCCTCCTCGCGTCGCTTTTCTTCCTCAGCAGCTAGGCGCTCGTCTTCTTCGGCCTGGGCCTTCGCTTCGGCTTCGGCTTTGGCAGCTTCTTCTCGTTGGCGCTTGAGTTCCTCCTGCTGCTTCTGGAGCAGAGCAAGATGTGCGGGGAGCTTCTTCTTCTTGCCTCCCGCAGCGGGCTCAGGGACAGGAGCAGCCTCGACAGGGGCAGCTTCCTCCTTCTCTTTCACCTCAGGGGTAGCCTTTGGTGCAGCGCCACCCTTCTTCTTCGCAGCGGCCTATCATTTGGTCGACTTGTTAGCAGGCTGTATTTAGGTAGGATAGAACCATGGTAAAAACAATCCATGGGGTAGCTGTAGCATACCTGTTCCTTCTTTCGCTGCTTCTCACGCTCCTTCTTGAGCTTTTCCTTCTCGGCCTTGGTCAGAATACGACCACCATCGGCGGCATTGTCAGCGGCAGCAGCAGGCTCGGGCTTCGTAGCAGCTTGCTTGTTCTGCTTGCCACCCTTGCCCTTCTTCTCGGGTAGAGCAAACTCATCGTCGATGTTGGCCTCGACGGGGGCCTGGGCGGGAGGCTCTTGGGCAGCTGGGGCCTCGGATTCGGGTTCGGGTTCGGGTTCAGGCTCGACGATGCCTTTCTTCTTGCGCTTCTCCTTGTTCTTGCGCAGTGTGGCCATCAGGCCACCGGCACCGCCAGCATCATCATCATCATCGTTGGCGTTGGCGTCACCATCGGCACCGTTGGCATTGGCAGGCGGGGCAATACTCTCGCCCAGCTCAGCCTCCCAGTCGTCCTGCTGGTTCTTTTTGTTTCCCTTCTTCTTGGGCGGCATCTCGGCGGTTGTCTCGGTGGGTGAAACTCGAGATGCAGTCGTCAAGGTTGGCGGGGCTAAACGTTCCTTACGTATGGAATTTTTGGGGGTAAGGCGAGAAAAAAAAGTACCAAAGCCCAAAAAAGATAACGTTACAAAAATGTGCCAGACGAACGAGGCAACCTACTGACTAAATTTCCGTGGTCTCAGTCACTCTCTCAGGCACACATGCGCGCACACACTATCAAACAAGCAAGGCAGAGAGGATCGAACGCACGTCAAGACTAACTAGATGGTCAGGTCTGGTCAGGTTGAAGGGTGCGAGTAGGTGGGGTGGGCTTCCAATCCAGGCGGGGCAATGCTGCGGGCAAACCACTGTATCCGTAGGTAATTCATGAACCTATATCCAGGGCTTTCTCTTGGGTGGCGAATCTTTAGACTCTCGAATATCGTTCTCGTGACACATATCCAGTCTCTAAAATGCATACGAGATGTCTATCTCGCACGTATGTACTTGTCACTCGTGAAATTTCGGTCTGCTCCTCTCAAAAAAATCACAACGTTTGGCAATAGGTAATTCAAGCCGACCTCAGATGCTCAGTCTCCGATGTCGTTTAGTGCGGGGCAACGACAAAAACCCCAGGAATCATGATTATTCTGTGAATGTGCCATATTATGTAAGCCTTTACCAACGAGCAAACCTGATGAAATGAAGCCTCAAGCCTTGAGCGTAAGATGGAACGGCGTTGTAGGCAGCAGTCAAATTGAGTCATGTTCTGACTCACAAATTTGATGATTATCGTCAAGAGTCATTATTTTATCTATACCATATTAAATTCCTTCCATGTGATTCGTCATATTCCCAACTCAGATTGCCAGAGTAAGAACATACTCGAGAATCTCATAGCCCAGCTCAATGTACTTCTTTCTTCCTCTAGAGCCAGTCTCCCGGAAACCTTCGGTGTGTATTCCATCGTCAATCCCGTCCAAATACTCGCAAAACAAGTCAATGCCATCCCCAATCAACACCAGCTTTTCCAGCGCACTCATATCAAGGCAACGTTGCAGTAAGTCACCATCAACATGCATCATCTCCCGGGCAAGCTGGGGTTCAAGCTCTGGATCTAGATCCAAGCCCGGATCGCTGTTCCCCGACGAGTAACTGTTCCGGACAAAGGGGCAAATCTCCTCGTTCTGGTATGCCAAGTTCTGTATCAACCTGAGGAACCGCCAGAGATCCAGACCTATTAATGAAAATTGGTGTAGTGAACCGTCAATAGACACTCCAAGTATGTCTGCCTGATCCGCTGTGCTAAATAAAGTATTGTATCGTCTTTGGCGGTCAACAGCCGACCAGAAAGGTCGAGTGTGCCCCTTGCGGAATCTCCTGATAGATGTGGGCAAAAGTCCTGTGACGACAACCTCGAACTCTTTATGGCGCTGACTCCATGGGATCCAAACTCCGGCAAACCCTGCTTGTGCCGTGGATATAACACTCACTGGCCACTTGCCTGGCTCTTCTTCGGAGTCTCCCATCTCTATCACATGTCCCGTAAAACGAGTCACTCGGTCGCTATGGATAATAGAAGGGTCACTGTTTTCCGACTCCACGTTCAGGTCAATGACCTGAAGTGAGTGTTGGGCAGTCAAGACGCAGACTTTTGTGCCTTCCACGCGCAGGGTTGTGGCTGGAGAATCCAGCCTGAACTGCTTCATAGGTTTGAGCTTCTTCTCCGCGAGGTCCAGGACTTCCCAGTGAAGAACCTTTCCAACACAAAATAGAAGACCCACATCATCTCCGACGACTGTATAAATAGGCTCGGCGAAGCCCTTCTTTTTATATCGTGTCCAGAACTGTAGTTTTCTTGTCGGGCAATCGTCACTCTCCGGTTTGACCGCTGTCACAGACACGATCATCAGTCGACCATGTTGAGTGGTCACGATGATGAACGGAAAGAGTTTCCCATCTTTAACATAGGTCCACTCATAGAGGCCAAATATCCTGTCGCCTGGATGTCCTAGGCCGGAAATATAATCAGACGGCTGCTTGTCCTTGTTAGCTGCCGTTGCGACATTCGCACCACTTTCGGGATCGATAAAGGAGAGTGTTGGACGATCATCCCTTAAGTGTGCAACCACCAAGACCTTCCAAGTCTGAGAATAGATGACGCGCATCGGGGTTCCGCCAAGAAGAATGCTACGAGGAACAGGTCCAACATGCGGCCAGATATCGACGAGAAGAACTCGTGTCTCAGATAGTAACATCAGGGACATATGACGTTCATATCCAGAAAGGCTATGTTGGAGGCAAAAGGCTGCATGAACGGGGGGTGATGGCATCGACGGTTCTTTCGAGTCAGTTGCCCAAATTCGGGTCTTAGTCTTGAATCTGCTACCATTTGGTGAAAAGTCCGTCACGATGGATAGGCTGTTGTCGCAGCAGGCGAAAAGGGCGTGCTTTCCATCAAAGAGGCTAGATGCCGGAAACACATTGGCTGGTGAAATGCCAATCTGTTCAATCGAAAGTGAGTAATGAGCAATATCATCCCCTGGTATCAGAATCGTCACAATATGACCGCTCCTCGTGCCAAGCACCAAGATGACCTTCTCAGCGGTATCATGAATGGCTAGCACACTTGTATATGCTTCCATATGCGAGTGACCTTCCTGGTCAGGAGTAACTGCGAGTATTTCAGCACTCTCCTTCTTCATAAATAGCCAACATCAGACTTACCAAGGTGTGGCTGAGGGGCGTTGCTGCTAATTTCAAGGCCAGCCAGCGAGTATATAGTCAAGAGTGGTAACCCTTCCGTAACAGAACCTGCAATGATGTAGGTCTGTACTGACGTATTGAAAAGGCCAATGCAAGTTATCTCTCCTTTGGCATCAATGGTGGTTGAGTGCGTCAAATTCATCTGATCAACCAGCAAAACATCAAGCTGGGAAGCGCTTGCGCCATGTGAAGATATAACCACGATATTATCTGTGCAACACGCATGCTCAGCCAGCAATGGAAAGTTCCCACAGACTTCACCATGATTGTATCGTGAGCTAGACTTCTATTAGCTATTATCGCAGAGCCATAAAGAATGAATTCAGGGTTATCAATACTCGCCTCTGTGTAGGTGCAACAAGACACGTGGAGGTCTCGCTGACTTGAATTATCACGGCCTGTTCTGTCTGAAATGCCGAGATTGTTCGCGATGATGTATCGAATGGGCAGGCATCTGGCGACAGAGCATCCGCATTGCTGAGATCAGCGGGGAAGTGAAGGACATCAGTAGAATGCGGCAGTGACAAAATGACATAGAAGCTTCGATCTCCTTGAGCCTCAACTGGAAACATCCAGGACTGGCGGACATGTTGGTCATGGTCGAACTCAAGGCCAATCCGTGCCTGAATGCCCCATCTCAACTCTGTCAAACTCGACTGCGGCCCTCGGCCGGACGTGCAGAAGATGCGATCCGACTTCGGTTTTGGGTTCGATGATACCCTGCGTTTCGTCGAAAGATCTTTCCTCCTGCTATCACTCCTCCAGGAAGGATTGGTATCTGTCGTGACCAAATCGACCACGGGAGACCAATTAGGAATGATGCTGACTTGTTGGGGATCTTTGCGGGGGATAAGCTGCGGAAATCGGATGTTAGCTGAGGCCAAGATACGAAGAGACAATGCGAACCACCTTCCAGATTCCACCAGGACCAGAGTCGCCGCCAGTTATCAAAACATCTGAGAAGACATCATAAGCTGTAGTGAAAGCGGTTGTGATATTGGTGCTGATGGTTCCGAGAGTCATAACTGTTGGAACTAGATCTCGCGAATCGATCTCAATATGTGCAATAACGCCATCTTCACGAGCTAGATAAACAACATCCATCTTCTCCAGGTATAGGTTGATTCTAAAAGGTCTCGCCCAGGTGGTCCAGAGCGGTTCGGCAGCTCCATGGTGCAACTTCGTCTGTTGAGGGTAGTGTGTTTCCAAGGTATCGAACGACGTCTGCCCTGTGAATGCGTTCTTTACTATGCCAATCGAGTGTTCTGAAACTGCCAAGAAGGCAGTATTGACTTTGAGTGGAATTATCATGAGAGGCATTCGGTGCTCTTTTGGCAGTGGTGTGCCTTTCTCTGACCGAAATACAGCGGTAAGCTCGTCGCCGAGCTCCCAGTCGTAGACGACCATGCGAGATACGTGAGCCTGCTTACTCACTTCGCGTCTAACAATGATCAATAGGAGAATGATATGGTAATCGTCTTCCAGTCGTGGATGTAAGAACTCCATTTTGTGTATGACGCCCTGCGTTATCCGAACTCGGATAGACTTGACAGGCTTCAAGCATCCGCAGTCCTCATATTGAGATTTCATGTGAGACAGCGAGTTCAGCTCGTAGACGACGAATCCACCTTCAGCGGATCCAGCAGACATATATCGCGACGAGGGGTCAATGGACAAGTGATACCCCAAGAACTGTAGATTCCTGGGGCTCTCAAACGTGGTGGTTTCAAAGCGCAGTATCCCGTCGAAGCCTTCCTGAATGAAGAGGAAAACGGCGTCACCTGTCTCGAGCATTATGACCAGTAGTTGCGGTGGAAGTACACGCTTTTCTTTGGTCTCTTTGCCCTTTTTGCCTTCTTCGCCCTCTTTGCCTTCGCTGGCTTCTTTGGCTTCTTTGGC